CCCCAAAACCCCAAAACCCCAAAACCCCAAAACCCCTTTAAATTTACAAAATTTTGAGTTTTAATTAATAATTTTCCCAAAATGATTGGAATAGAAGAAATACATGATATCCAATTTAGCCTTGATAAGGACTATATATTTGCCATCACTGACCAGGGAGTTATCTTTCTAAGCTCAGATCCTGACAAGGAGGTGGAAAACTATGAAACTAGAGGTAAGCACTTGCTCATTTCTCCTCCTCATATTTTGAATAGATATCAGCAACATTGAGCTATTGCAGAGCTATAATAACATTATTGCTTATGTACAGAACAATAAGAAGGGTTCTCGGAAAATGCTCAAGATTTATGATGACTACACAAAATCGGATATTTTCAAAATCAAGTTTGATTCGAGAATAATCGATCTAAAAATTTCTATTAACGGGTAAGCTTTTCATACTTTGATGATTCCTTGTGAAGTTAAATTATTTTTATGCTATTTTGATGTCATTTCTTCAAGAAAAAATTAATGCTCTAGTAGAAGTTTAATAAGTTATTTAGCTTCATGGTGATCCTCAAGGAGAAAGCATATCTCTTCAACTGCAGGGAAGGAAAGAAGGACACTTGGAAAACTCCAAAGCTTGTGAAGAAGTTCAAAACTCCTGAAAACAGGATGGGTATTGGGTGCTTTTTGAGCTATAAAACCAGAAATTTTGCCATTCTTCCAAGTGAAAGAACAAAGGTTCAGATTTATGACTCGAAGCAAAGTGAAGATATCGAAGAGTTTGACGTAGAACAAGATTATTCTTTATTATCGGCAAATCTTCATGGAGAAGTATTTGCCCTTCCCAATGAAGATGGGACAGAAATTTTCCTCCACAAAATCTTTGATGGAAGCTGTATTTCTTCATATACTAGAGGTTCATCTCCTTGCCAAATTACTTCAATAGAGTTTGATCGTTATTGAGAAAGATTAGCATGTTGATCCGAGAAAGAGACTATCCATGTTTTCTCACTGCCTAAAGAACTTGCTAGTGGAGGTGTAAACCTTGAAGAAGAAAAAGATTCACAAAAAGCAGCTATTCCTATCATTGATAAAACAATTCCTCCCACTAAACTAGATGAAAGACCTAATCAGGGAGGAGGATGGCTTTGGAATTCAGAAGGAAAGAAAAGTTATCTCAAGGTTAAAATTGAATCACCTGATAAGATTCTTACTATTCATAACAACAAACTGCACGTTATCACTCATGATTTGGTATTGTACCAGATAGACATCCAAAACCTTGGGGATTTCAGCATCGGTAGTAAGGAACTAAGAGAGATTGAGCTTTTCGAATAAGCTGAGATTTATAAATGAGTTGTTTATAAAATGTAATTTTGAAGGACTCAAGGGGATTTTTTAAGGAGGGGTTTTGGGGTTTTGGGGTTTTGGGGTTTTGGGG